CCTTAAACTTTAAGGAACACACTGTACATCAAGCTATTCTGAGAGCACTTTTTTAATGTAAGAAATTGCAGCTTATCTAATTCATAAAACTCTTTAACATTCCCAAACAACTAAGCGGTGTACAATATCAGAACTGTGAGAAAATATGCTAAAATTGCTGCTTTCAGTAGTTGCAAGATGAGCCTTAAGAGCATTTACCTCTTCATCTGGAAGTGACTGCTGTGACACCGTGAGGATATAAGGCACCAAACAGCCTTTCATGTAAACTGGACTCAAGTCTTTTATGGCTTTAAATACTAACAGCAAAACCTTGATTTTGGCTCAGCAATAAATTGGCACTTGAAAAAATGTCTTATCTGAGTCCAAGGCTGGAAAAGAAATCTGTTTGGTTGACATTTCCTTCTGAAAACATAAATTTCACACCTACTGAGACTTGCAACAGGCAAAGTACATTTCATCTCAGAAATCCATACATTTCTGAGGCTTGTAATATATTTTGTCAATATATATTCTGTCAAAGAGTGGGAAATGTGTGAAAAAAGAATACATTTTTGGGGGAAAACGACACATACAAAAATGCACACAAATTTCCATGAAAGGGGCAGGGAGTCTCAAAACCTAAGACAGAACTGGGATGAGATGCACATATCAGTAAAATTCAGAGAAATGCAACAAAAATGAAACTGGCAGATTTTCACATTTCATTTTTACTTATGGAATGTCACAATAATTTACATGCTGTTAATTTCCCATGCAAGCAAAAATATGCTCAAAATTCTGCAACATAAACTCTATTCATACATAGAGAAATTCCAGAGGTGCAAACAGGACTCTGAAAAGGAAGAGGGACTAGAGGCCACATTTCAAACATACAATAGCTAATGGAGCACAGCAAGGAATTCCAGAAAAAAACCAGGATGTGCTTCATAGTCTATAGCAAAGCATTTGCCTGCATAGATCATGAAAAACTATGGAAGGCTCTTAAAGTCATGGGAATGCCACTACATTTGACAGTCCTGATGAGAAATCTGTACTAAGGACAAAAAGCAACTGTAAGAACAGAACATGGAGAAACAGAATGGTTCCCAATTGGCAAAGGGGTCAGGCAAGGATGCATCTAATAATAATAATACTATCCCGCCCCTCTGCAGCGCACTCTACTTGTTCAACCTGTATGGAGAAAAGATCATAAGAAGAGCAGTACTAGACTCAGAAGAAAAAGCAGTGAAGATAGGAGGAAGAAATATCAACAATATGTGGATAACATGCTACTGATAGCGGAAACATTACAGACTTGGAATAATTATTAAGGAAAGTCAAAGAAGAAAGTGCAAAAGCAGGCTTACTGCAGAACATACAGAAAACAAAAATAATGACCACAGAGGATCTACATAAATTCAACCTAGACAACGAGGAAATCAAAATAATAAAATACTTCCCCTAGCTTGGATCAAACAGTGATCAGAACGGAGACTGCAGCCAAGAGATAAGAAGATAAGGAATGGGAAAGACAGCAATTAAAGAACTAGACATG